GCATGTCCGTGTACATCCCGTACAAAGGATGCCCAGCACACAAAAGCACAAGAATGGCACAGTAGTAACACAAGAACTCACACATACCACAAGTATCGGGTGGACTACAGCTGCTGACAAAGCACTGCAGCGATGGGGCACATCACCTTATGAGACGCAGAGTAAAGTGACAAATGCAACATTGATTTTGAAGAATGAAATTAAACCGCCAGTACCTTTCCCAGCTATAGGCCGCGGGCCCTGCACGCCGAGTTTTGGTGGCGCATCTGGCCGCCGCCGGAGGCCGAGTGCGGCCTCCGTGTTAACCGGCACGAAACGCCAAAATGGCTGGGAAAGGTACTGGTGGTTTAAGCTTGAAAGAATAATTGTCAGCACGACTTCAACTTTTCATCCCACTATGATTTTTAGCTTTTATTTACAAATTCTATCCCCATCAAGTTCATCAACGAATCAATTTTAGTCAGGAAAATGTAAACCAAGAAAGGAAGTTAAACCACCAGTACTTGGGCACTGCGCGCCGCGCCGGCCGCCTAAATGTCGAAGCAGCGCGGGCTGTCGATTTGATTTATCGATGGCCCCCCGGCCGCGGAAATCGCGTAGCGTTAACGCTAAGGCGTCGCCCAAGTACTGGTGGTTTAAAAATAGAAACTCCCCACTAATAGACCGGAGCCCCCTGCAAGACAGGTAAGAGTGTATGCTCCTATCATCACCCCTAGCTGTTGATGCTGGAGGGAGTTTCTTTATAAAAAAAAAAAAAAAAAAAAAGATTCTACACGCTTTTCTTTCCTCCCCCGAGATTTCATCATAGAACAGACCGGCCCCTGCAGCCCATTTCAAGGAAGCCTCAGACTAATATTGTCAATGAATTTGGTCAGTTTGCTCACTCGCGTGCAGTCTTTTTGACTGACACAGTCATGGTCAGTGAATCATACCCTGACATCTGACGCCCCGCGTGGAGCAGACATGGTCAGCAGGAAGAGCACTTTCTTTTCTTTTTTAGCATTTTTCTCTTCAATGACATTCCTTTTGTCATGAAATGGTTTTTCGTTTTCATTTTCCCTATTTCACGCTGCGACCCACCTGTCCACCACCCATCCCACACCTGTCACACTAATCCAAATACAGGGGTAGTGGGATCTCCCTCCAGGGCGGAGGTCCCACTACCAAAAAGGATAGGATCGAGCTCGTGAATCTGGATGTGTTTATGCAGAGGTGCAGAAAAGCAGTTCAATCTCGATTTCCTCCACCTGTTCACAAAGACGTCCAGATTCAGGTATTCGATACGATCCTATTTGCTAGTGGGACCACGCCCCAGGTGTGTACAACAGTTTAGGGGTTTACACAACTGAGCTAGGCAGGTTGGTTCTACACGCATTGTTTTTGCTTCTTTTCTCTCTTTTTTTTTCTTTTTTTTTTTTGACTATTCTACACGCAGTTTAGCACACACTTGTAACTGTTTCCAGTTTATTTTGGAATCTTGGAATCATTCTCAACATTCTGACATTCTGACATTCTGACATTTGCACTAAAACCGTCCAATATTGAATAAGCTTCTGATCCGACAGTACTTACGTCAAGTACTTTTTGCATTTTCACGGGATCCCACTTCTTTCCGCAGTCGCAGGGAGTGGCGGCCCCGTCAGAGGCCGTTTCGGAGGTTGGGTGTCGTGGCGGTTCGCGCGGATTCCATTCCGTGATAAATTGTCTCTATTTGCAAGAGAGCCGAGCACGGTCTCTGCAGTTAAAAAGATGGCGAAGTTTTTTTTTTTTTTTTTTTTTATTTCATGTCCTTTTCCAACGGGTCCGTCGCTCAAAGACCGTCGCTGGACCAAACGGACTGTCTGTACATTCGGAGGAACCGCAGGCGCCCACATAAAAACGGCGGTACTATCGTGAGAGCTCCTTTTTCGACGGCACTGTCGGGTCCCGTTTTTGTATCACGACCCTAACGGTCCGGCCCCGACTTTCCAGGTTCTCTTAGGTTCTCTTAGGTTTGAAGTACTGTGGGATCAGCGCCTAAGATCTTACGAAAAATGGTACTAACGTTCCAAAAGCTGAAAACATGGCAAAAAAAAAGGCTCATCATGAATGAATTTGTGCTCGCACGGCACGCCTGCACATACCAGCGCGAGCACTGATGCACCTCTGGGAAGCTGGGCCCGGGCCCGACTTCCAGCAGGTGCCACACTCCACCCTTAGATCAGGGCCATCAATCAAGCTGAGCTTTCACCCCTGAGGTGTTCTTACCACCCATAGGACAAAAGCTGGACGTCGGATGTTAAAAGAGAAAAAGGCAAAGACAAGACAAGAAAAGGAAAAGTTGGGTGCAAGGCCTCTCTCCTTACAATTCAGTGAAATTCCTCAGGGAGGGCAGCATCGACTCCCCTTATTTCCAAGTGGATTAAACCACAAGTAATTTTCACGGGCAAATTTCTCAGACGCGGCTGTGCATGCGCTTTGGGACGTGGAACTGTCACGTGCTCGGCACTCTTTTTTTTTTTTTTTTTTTTTTGGACCATTTCTCGATTTATGCGTGTCATCCTTGCGCAGGGGCCATGCTAATCTTCATTCTCTGTATCGTTCCAATTTTAACGGATGTCCCGAAGGACGCACGGCACCCTTTTTGCCTGGATGAATAATGCGCCACTTGGCAGGCCAATTAGTCCCAAGGGACATGGCATGGCGTGCTGCAATGGAGAAACTTGGCTGCAGGAAAAGTACTGAAGGTTTAACTGTCCTCTGGGGGCCAAGTCCCACTAGCAGGGGTTTGTTTAGTTTTGGATTCATGCCACAGCCGGGCTACCAAAAGTAGAAAAAGCTGGTTTGGTAATGAAAGGGGAATTTGCGTTAGAAAAAAAATCAGCTCCTATCTGCAGCCGTCAGATTCAGATTCGTGGGCTGCCTGAAAAGATCTACCATATCAATTGTGTAGGGAGAGAGAAAAAGTAAAGAGAGACATGGCAGTTGTACCTCATAACTAACAGACCGACCACAGGTATCTTCAGAGACTTTTTTTTTTTTTAATAGAAAAACACAGCTCCAATCTATTCGTGGGAAGCAGCACGTGCTGGAACCGGGCCCAGCGGCCCTTACGATAACAAACTTTTGACAGTTGGAATGAAAAATGGAAGATTGGTAAGAAATCCGAGTCCCTCACTTGCTGGAAAGCGGGTCCAGCGTCCCATCCGCTACCCCTGGACTCTGCCTCTTCATCCTTTCCAGGACACCAGAAGAAAAACATCAGACAAAAACTTTCTTGCGGACTGCTTCCTAGGCTAGAAAGGAGGACCCTGTGCTTTGGGGGGGAAAAGGATTGTGTGGACATTACCAGTACATGGGCACCTGGGCAGCGGGCCTGACACCTCACATTCTGGAGGTGCGAAACGAAAACGCAACCGACGATCGAAACGAAAACGCAACCGACGATCGAATTTATCAACAGCGGGCCCAGCGTTTGATGTTTCGGCCTCACTTTCTTGTGGCGACAAGTTTTGGACTGCAAGGCTTGGGCCGTGTACTTGTGGTTTAAACCACGACTACCTCCGATCCTGTTTTTGCCGACCCTGAATTTCACTATGCACCGAGTTTTGCCGAGCCTAGGTCGTGTTCTGTTTATGTCGTGGTGCTCTTGTGGAGAAAAAAAAGAACTCGGCGCTGCATCCAGGAACGAAAGAAAGAAAAAAAAAGAAAAAGAACAACAACCCAGACATGACGGCCGTCAGATGCATTACTGTAGAAGTGGTATGATCATGCCCTCAGTAACTATGAGCTCTGTCAGAATGTGGATTCCGGGTGGAGTATACAAAAGAGGAAGTAAAAAACGAAAGGAACTGCAACCAAGACGTTATAGCGGTCAGGTTCATTCTTTTTTTTTTTTTTTTTGGTATGACTCTGCGGAGTCTAATAGGGTGCCTTGGTCACTCCATCTATTGGTGGGGAGTTACACCTGCTGGAAACCGGGTCCAGCGTCCCTCAATTACATTTGGAAATATTGAAACTCCCCCTTGTAGGGGTGAACACAGCTCTTTACCCCAATACGGGCGCCAGATCTCATTTCTAATACAAGCTATGGTTCCTCTAATCCTCCTGGGTATTTAAAATTCAGAGTATGACAACACATTCCTGCATTGTCACCAACACTCCTCTCTGGGTATCTCACTCTTAATTCTTTTTTTTTTAACTATACTCTTCTCTCAATTTTTCCTCACACTACCTACCTACCTCCCCTCAGGCCCCTCCCCTACGAACATAGCAGACTCTGCTTGATGCTGATCGGGGGATCCAGTGGTCTATCTCTTGGGTAGAGGGTGCCAAGTAAGCCCAGGAAGGCATGACCATACCATGACCTTGGAACTGTAGAACTAAGGGGTGGGGGCAAAGGGTCCAGGAAACCTGTCATATCCCTCAAAGGCATCTCTGGCTCCATGGCTCCACCATTGTCCATTCCTCAAACATTCAAGTTAGATAGTAATCTCTGCATACTTCCTCATTATCCCTTCTCTCAGCCTCTTCCCACTTGACTGATCTCATTTTCCTTCCCTGAGGATTTTCAAGCCAGCATCGAGAAAATTCCTTAGTGTGTTTTAGAATTTCTGTTTGTGAGCTTAGGGGGCTCGTTCGACACTCCTCGGGGCGTCCTCGGGCCCCGAGGACGATTCCTCGGAGTCGCCCGAGGAAATTGTCGCCTTCGTTCCACTCATCCTCGGAGTCGACCCCCGAGGACGATTCCTCGGGGCTCCCGCGGCCCCGATTTATATATGCACAAGCGGACGCGGGGGTGGGGCTGACGGTGGTCCACTGAGTTCTGTCCGTGCGGACGGCGGTGGTCCACCTTTGTTGGCCGTCGCGAATTCGAAGGAGGGCGGGAAACGAGAAAAAAAACAAAACCGGGGCCCTTGGAAATGGCGCGCAGCGCTCCTGTTCAAAATTTGAAATTTGAAATCAGGCTTTGCGATCGGCGGCGCGTGGAGGACGTACGTTTCACGCCTGGTTGCGTCTGCGGCTGGCGTTCGTGGCGTTCGCATAAGTGACGATTGTCCCCTGCGGTTGTCGTCGATGAGCACGGTCGTCTACGCGTTGGCGGCAAGGGAGACGACATCGATACGTGAGCATTGGGAAAGGCAGACAACCATCGTCAGTGCGTGGCTCCCAAGATATTGCACAGCCACCGGCGCTGTGATCTTCCACGTGGCGGTGTTTGTGGAGTGCAGTGGTTTGATTGACGTGATGTCATCGGAAGCGGCGTCTGGGATGGATGTTGACGGGGGGGCAGGGCGCGGCGGTTTGACGACGGCGGAGAGGACGGCTATTGCTGTGGTGGTTAATGCCGTCCTCTTCCGCTGCCAGATGGCGAGCAATGACGCGAACTTCAAAGCGGCTCTTCGTGCACGGTGCAAGCTGTTGGCACTTCCGACGACTGGGCAGTGCTTGGATGTGGCTGCCATTTCCGACGCGGTGCTGGAGGTCTGCTACGCGATGGGGTGCGAGGGGTTTCCACGGGCGACTCCACGGTGGTGGGTGAAGCGGTGAACGGGCGGCACGTGGGACGATCTGCGGCAATGTGATGACGCAACGGATGATTGCTTCAAGGAGAAGCTTCGAATGTCGCCTTGTGTTTTCCGCGAGATCGCGGAGACTCTTTCCCCACTCCTTCAACGTCGTGTGACGTTCTACAGGGTGCCTTTGCAGCCAGACCCTATCATTGCCTATGCACTGTACAGGTGGGCCATGGGGGAGACGTACGACAGCCGGACGTGTAGCTTCGACATCGAGAGGGCTTCCGGCATCACGGCGGTGCGTGACGTCACGGCGGCGTTGCTGACTGCTTACCCCGACAAGATATCATGGCCCACAGGTTTGCAGAAGGCGGTCGTGTTGCGCGCCTTCGCGGACAAGGGGTTTCCAAACTGCCATAGGTGCATCGACTGCACACATATCTACATCGACAAATCCGCGAACGCCAACGGTGAGGACTACTGCGACAGGAGACGTTTATTCTCCGTGCAGGCGCAAGTGGTGGTCGACATGAACTTGCGTGTGCTGGACGTCTTCGTCGGTTATCCGGGGAGTGTGCATGACATGAGGATGCTGAACCTGTCGAGTTTGTGGGTGCGCACGGAGTCAGGACAACTTTTCACTGGGCCGCATGTGATGCTGCCTTTCGGTGTGCGGACTAATGGCTACTTGCTCGGCGACAACGGTTATCCGCAGTCGGAATGGATAGTCGTCCCTTACAGCGGTCTCGCGCAAGACCCGACGGGGGCACGCTTCGACAACAAACGGAAGACGGCCAGGGGAGCAATGGAGAGGGCGTTTGGCAGACTGAAGGGGATGTGGAGGTTGTTCCTCCGCACCCACAAGTGCAACATGGACAGCTTGCCGCAACAATTCGTCGCCGTCTGCATCCTCCACAACATACTCATCGACGCCGGCGTCCCGTTTGATGACAATCTGCTGTGGGAGGTGGGTCCAGACGGCGTGCGTCGTAGAGTGGATCTGGGGATGCATCAGCCATTGAGGCCAGTGTGCATGGAGTCTTCGACGGGGGACGCGTTGATATTGAGGGACGCGTTGGCGGAGCGGATGATTGCGCAATGAGGTTGGTCGTGTTCGCAGTTGGAGACCCCGCCATGACTGGAACGAGTCTGAGGGACGAAGCTATGAGAAGCGGAGGAGCACCAAGGAGATCCGGTGGCGGGAGGAAGGGGAGGTGGCCGTCCCACAGCAAGAGGCGGTCGACGATGGCAGTCCGGCCGTGGTAGCGTCGTTCGAGAGAGATGTGGCCGGCGTGTCTCGCGTGGTCGGTGCAGTTAGTTGTCCAGTGTTGAGTGGCGACGACTGGCTTATGTACGCTGTCGCTTGGTTTTTAGTTTTTTTTTTTTTGCCTTGTCCATGGACAGGGACTACGGGCAGGTTAGCGTTATTGTTCGCTCATGTAGTATAGTTGGTGGTTGCGGATATTGCCGTTAGGCGGGTGCGCGTGGCGGGGTTGCACGTGCCATGCGTGCAACATGCAGTACTTCTGATGACGGGGGACGACGGGCGAGAGGGGGGCGGGGGGGGGGTGGGGTGAGGGGTTTGATTGGAAACAATGCAACGTTNCGGGGGACGACGGGCGAGAGGGGGGCGGGGGGAGGGTGGGGTGAGGGGTTTGATTGGAAACAATGCAACGTTGCGGGTACCTGGAAATGCTTTCGCATTCTAAGGGGAATCCCTTTTTAAGATTTGAGTTTCCTTCGCTCACAACGGTGTATGCAAAAAACAGTTCATTCCGCATTTCTCTTGTTGTTATGTTGAAGGGAGCTGCTATTGCATGGGTTTGCAACACAGTTGTTTTGGTCCTCCGTTTCGAAGATTGTTCACCGCTTTGCCTGCATCGACCTTTGCGTTTCCTGTTCGTTTTCCGCTCTCGCTCCAATGTGGTGTGTTGTATTTTGTTATTTTGTATTTTTGTTTTATTTTTGTATATTTTAAATTTTAATTTTTGGTTTTTTTACTATTAGGAAACGAAGGCGGAAGGATGGATTGGACGTTCGATACGCACGAACCATGACGCATAACTTTGTTGCCACGAACATTCAACAGACAATGAGAGATGAAACCGTACCCTCCGTGCATGCGTTTTCCAAAAAAAAAAAACACAACAAGTGATGGATGGAATGAAAACAGAAGACCACGCATCGTTGCGAAGATAAAAAAGAACATCACCCATAAGGATATTCGCTGCGCTACCAATGCACACCTTCTACTATGCATGCCACCTCTGAACAGTGGCATGCCAAAATCCAGCGAACAAAAAAAAGTTGCCAATAAAAAGACTTCCACATGGTGTCCTGCCACGAACACAGTCATCAACGATACCAGAAAACAACACTTGTACGACGATCGCTCCCAGGGTAGTCAAACAAACCCTGCACGCTCATGGCGTCCTGCCCCGAACAAAGTCATAAACGATGCCACAAACCCTTTCTCCCCCGTGAGCCCTCTCGCGTCCCGCCCCCCGAAGCAACCCCCCCTACAACCCCCCCTCCCCCCATCCTCTTGTACCTGCCATCTCAACAGGGCCTGCGGATCATCCCCTCCTCGCCTTCGTCATCACCGTCGTCTACGCGTCACCCCCCCTCGCCTTTGTCATCGCTTTCGGCGTCGTCGTCGTCGTCCTCGGGGGGACCTGTCCCCAGCCAATCCAACCGTTTCGCCTCCATCGGGGAGGCCAACGTGGCGTCGTGCGAGAAAGTGACCCCACACTTAGACGCCCAATCGGGGATGCACACCGGTGGGGGGGCGAAGGTCGGAGGCGGTCTCCCCAACTTGTCCGTCATGACCTGCGCGGATTGCGTGATGTGTCGGCGGGCGTCGAACTGACGGTTCATGGACGCCAGCAGTGTCGTCTTCGCCGTCAGTTGAACGAAAACCCAAGCATCGTAATGCGATCTCGGATCGTCCCCCGCCATTAGCATAATCCACATCGTGGCAGTGAGCAAATACCTCATCGCCTCTGCCATCCGCTTCAGACGCTCGTACGACACTCGACCGCCGTCCATAGCTTCTGTCGTGCCAACTGCGCTTGTAAAATCCCGCACCAGACGCTGGACACAAGCTTCCTGGTAAGTCGCGCACTCATCGTCCTTGTGCCTGTCCATTATGTTCACGCCCACGAACCACAAAGGCAACTTCATGTCTACGTCCAATGTGGTGCGGAACAACATTGGGCTCAACAAACTGCGCCAGTCCTCTGCTGACCACATTGCTCTAGCGATGTCCGTGGCAGTGTGATTCAACGCGTATTGGTATGCTAAGTGATACCCCTTTTGCCTGCTCTCCGACTTGAAGACCCAACCGTGGATCGCCCTGAGGGAGATTGTCTGCACTTTCAACGCCCTCTCTTTCGCCGCGTTCAGCTCCGACTCGTCCTCGATTTTGTGTTGGGGGATGGAGTTGTGTGGAAGGGAGATGCTCCGTCGAATAGCCGGAGGCTGCACTCCCCGCGCCACGGCCACGAGATACGCGCGCGCTGCTTGGATTATCCTCACTATGGCGCTCCCCTGCGTGTCGTTCCAGAATCTGTTGTCATCCTCCCAAAATTTGGCGGCGGCATCCATAGCATGTGTCGTCGCTCGTTGCCCGCGCAGCCTGTGCACCAGAGCCTCGTTGTCTTCCCCGACTGCCGCGCCATCTCCTTCCTTCAGGACTTCAACCACCTCTCCCGGGACCGCCACAGCGCCGCCGCGCGCCGCCACCACGGGAGATCGCAACGTCCCACCTTCAACCGCTGCTTGGGAACTCCCCGCCACGTGTGCAGCCGGGGTTCGGGGGCGATTCACTGGCGCAAGCACGCGTTGCGCAGTCTCATGCGAGGCGGCCCCTTCCTTCGCGCGGCCACCGACGTCCCTCCTTGCCACGTTGCGCGCCACGTCGCGTGCCACGTCGA